CCGACCGCCCAGTCTTCAGCCGCGCTCGCGGGGCATCGTGGGGCGCGACGTTAAGGCGGCTCCACACATTCGGCGTTCGCCGAACAGCTCCACTAATCCCGAACGGTCGATGTGTTCGGCGAGTGCCGAACCGTAGGCGCCGTCCACACTACTCGGGATTCGCCGAATGTCGCATTCTGAACAGCTGATGTGTTCGGCGAATATTGGCTCCCTTTGATGTGTCCTAAAGACCGACGGTGGGTAGGGCGAATACCGAATGTTCGGCGCTCGGCGAATAGCGAGCAAACCGTCCACACTACTCGGAATTCGGCGGGTGGTTCTTCGGGATTCGGCGCGCGCGCGCGCGCGCGCGTGTGTGGGTGTGTGTGTGGGTGTGTGGAGCCGCATTTGGACGCAGCTATAGGCTCCGACACCGAGCGAAGTGGCTTAGGGTGTAGCGCGCTGACCTCGCATTTGGAAGGCCTGGGCTCAGATTCTTTGCCGACCATCAGTCACAGTCTAATTCGTTAACTTCATGTCACGAAGGTTAAGCGAATTTGAGACATCGCGGTTCCTGGTTGGATGTCCGACTAGGAAATCCCCGGGATCTAAGGGCAATAAGGCCAATTGCCCTTTACTGGACATATAATGGCTAAATACAAATAGGCTCCCACAGCAGCGCCAACGGCAAAGCCATGAACTAACAGCGAGTGGACTGTCATCTCACTTAACCTAACAATAGGGCTGATTTGATTTTCCAAGTTAGTGACAAGACTCGTTGGGGACGAGAAAAATAAGAAAACATTCATATAAATGATTTACCACGTCAATACAATGAAATAATTATCTGAACAAGAAATTAATTTATAATGCTTTTTTCCCTTTTTTTATTTGCAAAATGACTTAAAATGTGTTGTGGTTGCAAATCGAACTCTCAAGATTGAAATTAGTATGTTCGCCCGCTACCAATTGCGACGTTGGTTGACTAAATCATCCCTTTCACGAGACGATTCAAAGCATTTCATGTCTTCAAGGCTACCCTCGGTTCCTTTACCAGTCATTACACTGGGTGACTATAAATTAAAATAGTATTTGCCGTATCACTCAATAGAACACTTTGTTCAAATAAGTTAAACTCTTTGCTAATCGAAAAATGCAACTTTTCTTCGTCATTACGTAAGCGATCTTTACCAAGCAGATTAGTTCATACGTTGATGTTACATTGTCTTTTTGTGGCTTGCCTAAGCATGCGCGACATGAGTGAAGTCGCCGGAAGAGACGGCTCAGGGTAGCAACCGATGTCACTGCAGTCCCTCTGACTGGGAGGTCCTAGGTTCGAGTCCCGACGGTGGCAGAATTTTCGTCACTGGCACGTAGATAGCTAAGTCGATTTCAGTCGCTACCTGGAAAAGAATTCTAGCGGCCAACTGCTTTCATCGGAAGTTTTCCCTGGTTTCTCCGATCAACACCAGGCGAATGCCGGAGCAGTAACCTAGGAAACAGGCCACATACTGCACGTGATCATTCCTTCTTGGGATCGCGGCTTCGTCGTGGCAGTGGGTCGATACTCTGGGCATAGAGGGGGGACTTGTCAACGCGCATTGTGAGTGGCGCGTCGTTTCAACTAGGGCACTGGCCTGGAAAGCAAGTAGCTCTTAGCTGGGAAGGCGGGCCGACCCATATATTTAATAGGGAGGTTTCTGTGCGGGATAACTGCGTTTCGACGGGATGAGGATACCAATAGCCTAAAGTGTTCGTGTGGTCCGAGGGGAGAAAGGATAAACGCACAAGTGCCTAGGTGCCCACTCCGGGAATTTATCCTTCTCGTAACAAATAAAAGAAGTGTGGGTTTGTAGCCCACGCTGGGATAATGCTTATCACCCATTTCTTTTAATACAAGCCGCAAATGATCCTCTTATTGATATGCGAACATTGAAATTGGTATTGAATAGATCCAACTCGGTCTCCTTTTATTTACACAATAACATCGCTATGTACAGATTTTTACAATTAGTTGAACCGTTCCACAATGCTTATGATTCCACTTTAATTCAATTTATTAAATTAAAAATATTAAATTAATTTAATTCATTAAATTAGTTCTAAAACTTTACAGTGATGTTGAAAACTAAGAACAACATCTTCAGCATAACGCATGTGAATGCCTTTAGTGAACAATTTGTGAGATATGTCAGTAGTCTGTCAGATGCGATTTTCATAGTTGCCTTTTTTATTCGTTCAACGTACGTCCGCCAACTTTACGGTAAATATATCCGTTGTTCTCCGTCTACTATTAGTATACAACTGCCACTTCTGTGTCTTGCATCAGCTCACTGTCCAACAGTACTGTACTTCTGTTGGAATCATTTTTTATTTCAACATTATGTAATTTAGATATGATTGAAGTTATCAGGCAACAGTGTCAAATATTATGGAGTTCGTGGGTTTCCCTTTTACTCGAACAAAACTTTCGGAAATAATATTAAATGGAAAGGATACATAAAGAAGGTGCCAGGAGGGTACGTTGTGACCACAGCGCAGTATTGGTCACCAGAAGGTGCGGAGGCGGAGTGTGAATTATTGCAAGCAACGAACGCAGACGGCGCTTTCGAGCCGCTATTCCAGAGACAATAAATTTAGTTGGCTGTAGGTCATTTTCAAGGCCTCCCCCACTACTCTCTAGTCTCCCTCATCCTCTCACCTTTTCTGCACAATATTAGCAATGGCCCAACTTCTTCGTTTGCGTAGTGGAAAACAATGCGCTCGTGAACAACGGAGTGGTGTGCGGTTAATGGGTCCCGCGTTTTTAAATTTTCTTCAATTGAATCGTTTATTTTAAAAACCCGGCCAAAATACAAAACACGCTTTAGCGACGGATTATTGTTCCCGGAAGATAGACACTTCGTTTAGTGTACATTTATGTGAAAAATATTTATTTATTAACTTCTTTAATGAAAAAAAATATTTTGAAATCTGAAAAATTGGGAGAGTTATTCTTAGTTTTCTCGAAACGAGGAATTTGGCGTTTGACGGGTTTCTGAAATAAACGATTCAATTTTAGTGGGCCTGGGACCGGTTGCTTATCATTATCGAATGTTTTCTTTTACGAATACATTCTTGTTTGGATCACGATGGTTTTTTCATTTAAGTTGCTGGCTGGACGAATAACAATCTGATTTTTCTACTGATTGCCAATGTTGAGTGGATTTGTTATAACTAACAAACAAGATATAAGTACTCCATCCTTCAATTTTCCACAGTTTTCATGTAAAAATGTCAAAAATGTTTCCCGTCTGAGGTCGTCATAATTTGTGGAATCATTCATCATATATACTTCTAA